ATTTTATTGTTTAGATTGTAACTCTCTGACAAGAGATTAAAATATATTAGAATAAATGCAAGTCAAATTGAAAAATAATTATCAGTTTAAACTGACATCTAGTTAGAACTGAAAACAAAAATATTTAGAAAACACAAACATGTTTTTCTTTTCTTCCATTAGATACAGCTTTATGTTTTTCTGATCTAAAATATCATAAATTCACATTAAATATTTCAATTACCGGTATTAGCTCTCGACTGATCAGTCAAGCAATAGTACAATAGATTTTTATTTAAATATAAACTTTTCATTTCATTAAAAACTGATCAAAAACTTTGATTGTGGTTTATTAATAATTTGCTACGTCCAACCGTGTCTCAACCCTTAGCTTTTATTTGATGTGACCAGGATGATTTTGAGGCTTGACATGCCAAAAAATAAATAAAAATAAAAACCTCTAATTATGTTCAAACAGGGAAGAAGATTGTGAATTTACCTCCAAGTGATGCCGAATGTGGGTCTGGGTGACGGATACGGCCAGATATCCTGAGCAGGTTTGGCGTTATAGCTAAACACGGGTACCTCTCGGAACCCGCCTCGCCTTGCCAGCACCTTCACGTCATCGTGGGGCAGCACAAAAATACTCCTCCGGCTGCTCTTGGTGACAAACTTGCGGTAAGAAGGAAGAGCTGTGTCGGAGCGCGTCTTCTTTGTGCGGGAGAATTTGAGAAGTCGCACTCGTCCCCTTGTCGACGACGTGTCTTCCTGGCTCACGGCGACACAAGACATGGTGGTTGTTCCACCGGTGCCGGTTGTTGACTCGTAAATACAAGCCGACTGTGTTGTTTTCTGTTCCTGCATCACTACTTCACTCTGGCTGTCGTCCGACTGACTATCCAGTCCGCAGGAAGACATTTTGGTCACGGTTGTTTTGGTCATGGTAGAAAGGGTAGAGACTGCGCTGCTCTCCGTCGTCACTACAGGATGTTTCAACTCTCCGGATGCTTTCAGCTGCACACTGACTGTCGTGGTGGTGGTGGTGGAGGAGGTTACCTGGGTAACGATGGTCTTAAATTGTTCCGTTGACCCACTGTTACTGTTTTCCTCTGTGAAGTCGTCACTCAGACTGGACTCCTCTGCTGAAGGAATAGGAGAGGGAGCCATTCTTATAATCTTGACCACAGGAGTGGGTTTGGTCTCCACAGCATTAAAGGCTGAGGTGCTGTTGTTCTGCAGAGGGCTCAGAGTAGTCGCTGCAACCGAGCCAATGTTGTTTTCAAGTCTCGTCAACTTAAGAGGAGGTTTGTAGTCCTGGTCTGATATGGTTACCCGTTCCTCTACCTCGGAGTCTAAACGTGGATCTTTTTCTTTAATCACGACTCTGTTATTCAGAGGGGTCAAATCCCCGTTCACTAATGGTTTTTGTTGGGTGCCGTCCTTCAGGGAGACAGCCAGCTTTTGTACCTCAACTTTACCAGTGCTGTTCAGCTTGGGCCTGTCTGTGAGCACGCCATTGTTCTGGTTCATTACAGAGTTACTCACTATGCTTTCACTTTCCAAACCAGCATTACCATTTACCTGAGGCAGAGGAGAAAATGGCTTGGAAGTGCCATCAGATACAGCTCCATTGTGTGCAATGCTCTGCATGCTGTCTCGGTTCTCCTCTGGCCCTAAGCCGTTTTCCTCCATGTCAGAATGCACGCAGCGTACACTTTCTGCATTTCGCTCAATGGGTTTAAAATGTGATGTGCTTGGACTGGTTTTTTGGTCAGCAGTACTACAAAGCGTCCTTACAGAGTCTGTGTTTTCAGTGTGTTCAGCCTTGGTTACATTTGATGCAACGCAGACTGTTTGTTGCTCCAAGGAGCTCCGAATCCCCCCACCTTCACCCGCTTGTCCCAAACTTTCTGCACTGGTTTCCTTTGGCCCCGTAGTCCTTTCCTCCGTTTCTTGGTGCATGGATGTGGTCTGATTTAGCTGCAAATCTGAATTTTCACCTGTACCCGTGTTGCAATTGTCTTTGAGTGTAGAATCGGAAACAGGGGAAGGAGGAGTGCTGGGGAGCTCGGCTGCACTCTCTCCTTCCTCTGGTCCCCCAGCTTCTCCCGAAGATGGTATCGTGGAGGATTTCTCCACTTTCACGGCTCCTCCCGGTGTGCACGGAGTCTGAACGAGAGCGTGGGGCCTGAGCGGCGACCGCGGACGAACTGGCGTGCCCAAAGACGAGGCTGTGTAGGATGAGACCGGCGTGGACACCAGGGGTTTGGATGCAGGAAGCTGTTGTCTTTGCCTCTCTTCAATCAGGTGTTGCTTGACCCTGCGCTCCAGCAGGCTGTCCAGCTTGCAGGCCTTCACCTTCTTCTTGTAGGCGATGCGAGTAAGGAAGCCCTTGCTGACATCCACAACATCGTAGTTGAACGGTCGCAGAGAGTCATCTATTGGCTCCGCTTTTAGGGAAACCTTATTCTCTTCAACACTGAACCCTAGAGGGAAAATATAAATTTTGATTCACATTAATGTGGAATTAGGACAATTAGTTAGGGGTTTTCAAGTCATTTGGGTCTGGGGACACCTTACAAGGGCGAAAAAATATTCCAGGGACCCCCCTCATAAACCAAATGCTCTTTTAAAAGATAATTTATTGTCATTTCAACCCCTAAATGCCATGGGAATATATATTTTTATTAAGTTTATTAAGTTTGTTTTATTAGTTCATTGTTCTCCATGCATTTTTAAAAACAAAAACCAAATTAACATTTTAGTAAAAATGTTTGAGGACCCCCAAGATATCTCTTGCGGATCCCTGGGGGTCCAGGGACCCCAGTTTGAGAACCTCTAGAGTCTAGACGAATTAACCAATATGAGTTAACTCGAAACTGAGCTAACTCGAAAATTAGAGCAGAGGTTCTCAAACTGGGGTCCCAGGATCCCCAGGGGTCCGTGAGAGGTATCTTGGGGGTCATCAAAAATAAATTGTTAATTTGTTTTTATTTTTAAAAATGCATGAAGAATAATGAACTAATAAAACAAACAATCAGCCTAATAAAAATACAGTATTCCCATGGCATTTAGGGGTTGAAATGACAAAAAACATGGAGTTTATGAGGGGGGTCCCTGAAATCTTTTAGCCGTTGCAAGGGGTCCCCAGACTCAAATAGCTTGAGAACACTTAGAGCAACAGACCATTTTAACTAGACATACAGAAGTATTGATTTAAATAAAAACAATTTCTATATTATTGTCCTTTTTAGGTTTTAAAGGGATCCCCGATTAGTTGTAACATTAGACTTTATTTGATAAACATATATTTTAACTGTAAAATAAAGATTGTAAAAATACTGTAGGCTGTTCAGTTTTGTACATTTTTAACAATATATTTTAACATGGAGAAAGCCATTTTATTACACAAAGCATTCTGGGTAAATGATGATGTGGATAGGTCCTCGGTGTAAGCGAGCTATATCCACCCTGAAGGTTAACCTTGGACAATATCTGATGATCGACTCTTTTAAATGAAACCAGAGAGCGTTGACAGAGAGGAGAATGTGTAGCGCTGAGCTGATACATATGTATGGTGATAGCATCGGGGCTAACACTAAAGCTAACAGGCTAATCTGAGGTTCTTCCATGAAGCAGCTCTGTTGTCCTCCTTCTCCTCTCTGTCAACGCTCTCTGGTTTCATTTAAAAGAGTCGATCATCAGATATTGTCCAAGATTAACCTTCAGGGTGGATATAGCTCGCTAGCAGCCTCGCACCAAGGACCTATCCACGTC